GACAAATGGTTTTTAATACTTGACGGCTGTTGGAGTGTGAGCAAAGTAACATTTATGAAGGGATTCGGGGAAACCCCGGGCAGGCCGGACTTGAGTCCTGGAGATGGGAAGTACAGTGCTGCACTCTGAAGGAGGGGTGTTAATGTTGCAGTTTTAAAAAATGTAGGTAAAGCACCCTTCTGGCAAGACAGTGATGGAGTGAAGAAGGTGAAAGTTTTTCTTTTTCGGGCCACCCTGCCCTTTGGGGGGAATCGGCCGTGTGATAATAAAAAAAAAATATATATATAAAAATATATATATATATATAAATATATATAATATATATATATATATATATAAAATATATATATATATATATTATATATATATATATAAATATATATATATAATATATATAATACAGTGGACCCCCGCTTAACGATCACCTCCAAATGCGACCAATTATGTAAGTGTATTTATGTAAGTGCGTTTGTACGTGTATGTTTGGGGGTCTGAAATGGACTAATCTACTTCACAATATTCCTTATGGGAAAAAATTCGGTCAGTACTGGCACATGAACATACTACTGGAATGAAAAAAGTTCGTTAACCGGGGGTCCACTGTATATATATATATATATATATTTTTTTTTTTCAACAAGTCGGCCATCTCCCAACGAGGCAGGGTGACCCAAAAAGAAAATCCCCAAAAGGAAAATATTTTTTATCATCATTCAACACTTTCACTTCACTCATGCATAAATAAAGACATAACATATCCTTCCAAACTGCCAATATCCCAAAATCCCTCCTTTAAATTGCAGGCATTGTACTTCCCATTTCCAGGACTCATGTCTGACTATATAACAATAACTGGTTTCCCTGAATCCCTTCACTAAATGTTACCCTGCTCACACTCCAACAGCTCGTCAGGTCCCAAATACCATTCGTCTCCATTCACTCCTATCTAACATGCTCATGTACGCTTGCTGGAAGTCCAAGCCCCTCGTCCACAAAACCCCCTTTACCCCCTCCCTCCAACCTTTTCAAGGATGACCCCTACCCTGCCTTCTTCCCCTACAGATTTATATATTCTCCATGTCATTCTACTTTGATCCATTCTCTCTAAATGACCAAACCACCTCAACAGCCCCTCTTCAGCCCTTTGACTAATACTTTTATTAACTCCACACCCTCTAATTTCCACACTTCAGATTCTCTGCATAATATTTACACCGCACATTGCCCTTAGACAGGACATCTCCACTGCCTCCAACCGCCTCCTCGCTACAGCATTTACAAACCACGCTTCACACCCATATAAAAGAGTATTGGTACCACTATACTTTTATACATTCCCTTCTTTTCCTCCAAAGATAACGTTTTTTGTCTCCACATATACCTCAATGCACCACTCATCTTTTTTTCTTCATCAGTTCTATGGTTAACCTCATCCTTCATAAATCCATCCACTGACACATCAACTCCCAAATATCTGAAAACATTCACTTCTTCCATACTGCTCCTCTCCAATTTGATATCCAATTTTTCTTTATCTAAATCATTTGATACCCTCATCTCCTTACTCTTTTCTCTGTTCATTTTCAACTTTCTTGATTTACACACCCTCCCAAACTCGTCCACCAACCTTTGCAATTTCTCTCTAGAATCTTCCATAAGCACAGTTTCACCAGCAAAAAGTAACTGTGTCAACTCCCATTTTGTATTTGATTCCCCTTAATTTAATCCCACCCCTCTCCCCAACACCGTAGCATTTATGTCTTTTACAACCCAGTCTATAAATATATTAAGCAACCATGGTGACATTACACATCCCTGTCTAAGACCTACTTTTTTTTTTTTTTTTCAACAAGTCGGCCGTCTCCCACCGAGGCAGGGTGACCCAAAAAAGAAAGAAAATCCCCAAAAAGAAAATACTTTCATCATCATTCAACACTTTCACCACACTCACACATTATCACTGTTTTTGCAGAGGTGCTCAGAATACAACAGTTTAGAAGCATAAACGTATAAAGATACACAACATATCCCTCCAAACTGCCAATATCCCAAACCCCTCCTTTAAAGTGCAGGCATTGTACTTCCCATTTCCAGGACTCAAGTCCGACTATATGAAAATAACCGGTTTCCCTGAATCCCTTCACTAAATATTACCCTGCTCACACTCCAACAGATCGCCAGGTCCCAAGTACCATTCGTCTCCATTCACTCCTATCTAACACGCTCACGCACGCTTGCTGGAAGTCCAAGCCCCTCGCCCACAAAACCTCCTTTACCCCCTCTCTCCAACCCTTTCGATGACGACCCCTACCCTGCCTTCCTTCCCCTTTAGATTTATAAGCTTTCCATGTCATTCTACTTTGATCCATTCTCTCTAAATGACCAAACCACCTCAACAACCCCTCTTCTGCCCTCTGACTAATACTTTTATTAACTCCACACCTTTTCCTAATTTCCACACTCCGAATTTTCTGCATAATATTTACACCACACATTGCCCTTAGACAGGACATCTTCACTGCCTCCAACCGTCTCCTCGCTGCTGCATTTACCACCCAAGCTTCACAACTACTTTTACCGGGAAGTAATCTCACTCTCTTGTACACACCCTAACCTGAGCCTCACTATCATAAAAAAACTTTACAGCATTTAGTAACTTAGTCTCTTTTGTCCCCCTTCTCTTTATATAAAGGAAGTATACATGCTCTCTGCCAATCCCTAGGTACCTTCCCCTCTTTCATACATTTATTAAACAAAAATACCAACCACTCTTACACTATATCCTCCCCTGCTTTTAAGATTTCTGTCATGATCCCGACAGTTTTAGCTGCTTTACCCCCTTTCATTCTACTTAATGCCTCACGCACCTCCCCCACACTCACATCCTGCTCTTCTTCACTCCTAAAAGATGTTATACCTCCCTGGCCAATGCTTGAAATTACTGCCTCCCTTCATCAACATTTAAAAGTTCCTCAAAATACTACCCCCATCTACCCAGTACCTCCATCTCCCCATGTACTAACTTCCCTACTCTGTTTTTAACTGACATATCCATTCGTTCCCTAGGCTTTCTTAACTTTTTTATCTCCAAATTTTATTTTATTTTCATCAAAATTTCTTGACAGTGCCTCTCCCACTCTATCATCTGCTCTCCTTTTACACTCTCTCACCACTCTCTTCACCTTTCTTTTACTCTCCATATAATCTGCTCTTCTTATAACACTTCTGCTTTGTAATAACCTCTCAAAAGCTACCCTTTTCTCTTTTATCACATTCTTTACTTCATTCCACCAGTCACTCTTCTTTCCTCCTGCACCCACCCTCCTATAACCACAAACTTCTGCCCCACATTCTAATACTGCATTTTTAAAATTATTCCAACCCTCTTCAAGCCCCCACTACTCATACTTGCACTAGCCCCCCTTTTTTTCAAAAGTTGTTTATATCTCGCCCGAACTTCCTCCTCCCTTAGTTTAAACATTTTCACCTGTCTCTCACTTGTTGCCATTTTCCTTTCGTCCCATCTACCTCTTACTCTAACTGTAACTACAGCTAAATAATGATCCAATATATCGGTGACCCTCTATAAACATGTACTTACTGAAGCCTACCCATCAACCTTTTATCCACCAATACATAATCTAACAAACTACTTTCGTTACTTGCTATATCATATCTTGTATATTTATTTATCCTCTTTTTCATAAAATATATATTACTTATTACCAAACTTCTTTCTACACATAGCTCAATGAAAGACTCCCCATTTTCATTTACCCCTTGCACCCCAAATTTACCTACTACTCTCTCCACAACATTTTTACTCACTTTAGCATTGAAATCTCCAACTACAAGTACTCTCACACTTGGTTCAAAACTCCCCATGCACTCACTCAACATTTCCCAAAATATCTCTCTCTCCTCTACACTTCTCTCTTCTCCAGGTGCATAAACGCTTACTATAACCCACTTTTCACATCCAACCCTTAATTTACTCCACATAATCCTTGAATTAATACATTTATATTCCCTCTTTTCCTGCCATAGCTTATCCTTCAACATTATTGCTACTCCTTCTTTAGCTCTAACTTTATTTGAAACCCCTGACCTAATCCCATTTATTTCTCCCCACTGAAACTCTGCCTCCCCCTTTAGCTTTGTTTCACTTAAAGCCAGGACATCCAGCTTCTTCTCATTCATAACATCCACAATCATCTCTTTCTTATCATTCGCACAACATTCACACACATTCAAACATCCCACCTTGATAGTTTTCTTCTTTTTCTTTTTAGTAGGCTGTATGGGAAAAGGGGTCACTAGCCCATTGTTCCCGGCATTTTAGTTGACTTTTACAACACGCATGGCTTGCGGAGGAAAGATTCTTATTCCACTTCCCCGTGGATTTAAAAGGAAAAACCTATAAGAACAAGAACTATTAAGATAAAATCAAAGAAAACTCAGATTTTTTTTTCAACAAACTGGCCGTATCCCAGCTAGGCAGAGTGGCCCAAAAAGAAAAGAAAGATGGTTTCTCTTTTTAAATTTAGTAATTTATACAGGAGAAGGGGTTACTAGGCCCTTGCTCCCGGCATTTTAGTCGCCTCTTACAACACACATGGCTTACGGAGGAAGAATTCTGTTACACTTCCCCATGGAGATAAGAGGAAATAAACAAGAACAAGAACCAGAAAGAAAATAGAAGAAAACTCAGATGAGTGTGTATAAATAAACATGCACATGTGTGTGTAGTGTGACCTAAGTGGAAGTAGAAGTAGCAAGACATACCTGCAATCTTGCATGTTTATGAGACAGACAAAAGACACCAACAATCCTACCATCATGTAAAACAATTACAGGCTCTCGTTTTACACTCACTTGGCAGTACGGTAGTACCTCCCTGGATGGTTGCTGTCTACCAACCTACTACCAAAATTAGATGCTGTATAATAAAATTACATTGCCATATGCATGTACATAGTTTACTTTAAAAATATCCACAGGGTGTGCCTAGTGATGCAACTTGGGACAAGGCAGTTAGAATGATCCAGAATGATACGCGTTATGAGGCATTTAACAAGCTGAATGAAAAGAAACAAGCCTTCAATGCTTATAAAGTACATCGTGCCAAGGAAGAAAAGGTATGATTGAAATTGTTTTTTATGGACTGTAATTTTACCACGTGTGACATTTGCAATGCTGATACTGCATTGTGTTATACCAATTTCTTACCTTCATATTAAGTAGCTATTACAGTTAAGTGGGTAATGTAGTTCAACATACTCTAAAACTGTATTTTTAACACAACTGCTACACTCTTAAACCTCCAGTGATTGCTGTTTAGATACTATACTGCATTACAGAAACAAGTAACCTGCTTAAAATTGAAGAAGATATGCCTCTTAGGCTATGAGAGTGTCTTGTGAAAGCTCACAACTGGGTTGATTTCATATGATTATTAAACAACCTTCATCACTTAGTGCTTTTCCTACTAGGCATTAAAGGTGTAATATACAGTACACAAACCCGCACATAGGAGAGAGTAGCTCACAACGACGTTTTTGGTCTGACTTGGATCATTTATGTTGTTGTAAGCTCCTCTCTCCTATGTGTGGGTTATTTGTGAATTGCTCCAGTTATGGTATTGTGCCTTTTTGTTATTTAATTGTGTAATATGCAGTACACCTGAGAAATGCTTTTATTTACCCCCAATTTATCCTCAGATTAGTTTGTGCTAAAATGTAGAGTATTGTCTTCACACACCATAATAAATGCAGCATATGAGGACAATGGTAGCTACAAGAGCACTAGTAACAATTGATAGGAAATCGTAAAATAAGTTTGCTATCTACTCGGTTCATAGGAGGAGCAACGACTACGAGCCAAGAAAGCCAAGGAAGACCTGGAGCAGTTCCTGTTAAGCAGTGAACGCATGAGTTCCTCTATCAAGTACTACCGCTGCCATGAGATGTTCCAACACCTTGAGGTACTTACGGTGCATTTGTAATTTTTGCTAATTATTTTCCACAACAGTTTATTAGGGTTGATGTACAGTGCAGTTTGCAAATTCTTAGTGGGTGTGTTCCTCGAGGTTTCTTCCTGGGAGGTTCCCTGCACCTTTCATTTACTCTTGGTTTATACATCCTCATGGTTGACCTCTCCTGCTCCATTATTTCTGAATAATCAAACTATCTCAAGGACCCTTGCTCTTTGTATTATACCTCCACATAGTTCCACATTGTCTTCAAATTTCTTCATGTCGTGTTCTCTGCATAATATTTACACTGCACATTAATCTCAAACATGTCATCACCATCTCCTTTTCACTGCAACATTCAAGGACTATCCCTTGCATCATGCAAAAATAAGTGTTTGAAGTAAGTTGGCACTTAAAAAATGATCATGGAAAACACTACACATATCTACAATTGTTCATTGCTGCTCTCTCTCTAAGAGATCTTATTACTAATGTGAATCTAGCAGATATTCTGACCATCAGCTTGACCATCAGATGATGAGTCAATAAACTAACGTGAAAGAGATTTACTTAAAGCATGAAAATATTAGATTTCCCCATTTTTTCATTGCGACTATGTTTCCATTTCATGTCTGGGATTCCATTGCAGAAGGTAGAATATGTGATTTCCATGCTTTGGGATCATATGATTTTTTTGTGTTGTTTTAGAGTTTATAGCCAAACCCGGTTGGCAGATTGGATTATTTTATATTACTAATCTAAATTGGATTCCATTATTTCTGGTTGATATTTTATTAGTGACAAAACCAAATTGCACTTTGGGCTTGTATAATATTCTGTACAAATTACAGTAGTTATGAACAAAACATAAAATATATAAACCCATTTATCCTCAAGAAATATAAAATGTATCTGGTATGAGAATAAAGTGATTATTTAAATGCAGTTGTGGAAGATTGTTCCTGAGTCTGAGCGTCGTGAGGTGTATGAAGATGTGGTGTTCAACTTGGCAAAGAAAGAAAAAGAGGAGAACAAGGCAATGCGCAAGAGAAACATGAAGGTAGGCATTATTGCTTGACTGCCAGATTTACATTGTTGGTTAAGGGGAAGGATTGTTTTGAATATAGATAGATGAATATTTGAAAGTAATATTTTGTCTCTCATTATATAATAAGAATTCCTTAAGGTATTATATGAACTGCAGCAGCAGCCTTAAACCTACTCTTATACCATTTGAGCCATCTTTTATTAATGCAAGGCTTAGCTCCTGAATTAACCTTGTCATTACATAGTCTTAGCTCTTCTTAAAAAGAAAATCCTGTTCTCGTATATCAGACTATTATTGAGTATATAGGATTTTTTTTTTTTTTTTAAGGTACTGAGTGAGATATTAGACAGCATGACCAACATTACCTTTAAGACTACATGGTCAGAGGCACAGCAAATGCTCATAGACAACCCAACTTTTGCTGAAGACACAGATTTGCTTAGTGAGTATAATTCTCCTTTCATATACAACCATTTTTTTTTATATATAAATTATCACATTCCCTTTGGTTTGAACAATAGATAAGTTTTCATGTTTTTCTAGACCTTTTTCTCTATTTCAGTTAAATTGGGTTAACCAGTATATAAACATTATGCTGAAAAAATAAAATTTTTTTAAGGCATGGATAAGGAGGATGCCTTGATTGTGTTTGCTGAGCACATCAAACAACTAGAGGAAGAGGAGGAGGAAGAACGTGAGAGGCAGAAGAAGAGGATCAAGCGGCAACAAAGGAAGTGTCGTGACAGCTATATAGCTCTCTTGGATGAGTTGCATGAGCAGGGCAAACTTACCTCTATGTCCTTGTGGGTCGAGCTCTATCCCATGATCTCAGCAGATATTAGGTAATTTACATGTTTTATGCAGCCTCGTGTTAATTATTTAGTACAGCCTCTCCTCACTTAGCAATGTACTCGTTTACCGATGTCTCAGACTTACGAGAGGGGCTCTGACCAGTATTTATTCCTAAATATTAGAGCTGATGTCCTCTATTCTATTTATTTCAATATACAGTACACTTCTGTATAAACATTTAAAAATATACCAGAAATGTTATAAATGGTGCAAAGGTGACATTAAAATATCAAAGATGGTTGACCCAAACCCACTACCATAATAGTATGCTCCTCACTTAGCGACGAATTTGTTTAACCCTTAAATGGTCCAAACGTATATATACGTTTTTTCAACATCTGAAAGTATGTAAAAGAATGTAGATCTTCTTTTTTGTTTTACATTTGAAAATGTGTAAAAAACACTTTTATCTACTTTTTTTTTTGTTATATTTGAAAAATTGTAAAAAAAAGTAGATCTACTTTTGTAGCACTACGAATTTGAACGTCGATCTGTTTGGACCGTTTAAGGGTTAATGACGTGGTCTAAGGAATGGAACTCCATCTTTAACCCTTTGACTGTTTCAGGCCCCTCTCTGAAACTGTCATTCTATGTCGCTCAATTTTTGAAAAAAACAAAATTATTTTTTCTTATGAAATGATAGAGAATCTTTTCCCGATGGTAATGACACCAAAAGTTCGAAATTTGGTCGAAAACTCGTGGAATTATGCTCCCGCGAAGTTAGCGGTCTCGGCGACATATGCGTATCGGCGATTTCGCCGACTTTGAGCCCTATTTTCAGCCAATTCCATTGTTCCAGTTGACCAAACTCATAGCTATTTCTTTAGAACTCCATTTTATCTATCAGCTGAGTACAAGAAACCTCCCATTTACTAATTTGGACTACCCAATATGGTGGTCAGAAATTGGCAATTTGGCCAATTTCACGCAAACTAAAAAAGATGCCAATTTCAAAATAGGGTCCAGAATAAACAAGGTAGACATTCGTGGCACTAAAATAACATATGCTCTGTTCATTAGTCATATCTCTAGGCCCCTCTTATATTATTATTGCTTTCTATTTTGATTTTTTATTCATACAAAAAAATACAAAATTTACTGTTATGCAGACTACTGCATTATTGTAAAAATGGTATAAATAATATCAGTGCACTAGTGAAAGAATATTAGACTCCCCAGTTGACGTGTATTGGATGTGTGGTGTGATTTATTTACTCCTGAACATTGGTAAAAATCGAACATTTCCGCTACTTTGAGCTCAGGTTCAAGGTCGTTTTCATTGTCAAAGTAATAAAAATCATCTCTATTTCTGTAATATGTTTTCCATTTTATCACCTAAGACCAGGAAAACGCGAATACAACGATAAATACTATACGAAAATACACTTCAAAGTCGGCGTTTTATTCCAAGAAAACGATCAGTTTTTTTTTTCTCATTACGCAATGTGTGCTGCAGGATTTTTTTTATGTGGTGCACACTGACCACACAGACCCATTCTCTCACATGTGGGCCTACCAGCTTTCTCTCGTTTGATTTGAAGCCGCTAGAATTATTGAGTATATATACTTCAGAAACATTGGCTCGTAAGACGTATTTATACGTCGAAAACAGTCAAAGGGTTAAGTGAGGAGAGGCTGTATAGCATAATTCTGCATGACCTCTACACATTTAGAGCTTGTCTTCAGTAATAATAATAATAGTTTAATAGTACAATATGTTGCTACAGTAATTATTGGATACTTTAATGATTTTTATATTTAATATTAAAGCTGTTCCTGGCTAAGTAAAAATTTATTCAGTCTTGAACCTGAGCAATCCTAAATTAGTAGTCCTCCCTGAAAATGTTTGCAAAACTAATCACTACATACTATAACTTTTATTTGTTCTTATAGGTTCACAGCCATGTTAGGTCAGCCAGGATCAACACCTCTTGACCTATTTAAGTTTTATGTGGCAGATCTTAAGTCTCGTTTCCATGACGAAAAGAAAATCATCAAGGAAATCTTAAAGGAAAAGTCATTTGAAGTTCAGGTGAGATATAACATTCATAATATACAATATTCCTTAGTTGGGTGCAAATTTTTTAAAAAGTCTTATATTTTAAGCCAAGATTTTTTTAGTAGAAGAATTCCGAGGGTTGAAGGCTAACCCTTCTTAGGGTCCTGAAGAAATTGCTGTAACTGCAGCTCTGTTCTTGTGGGTGAACTCGTTATTTTTTATTATAAATCCCTTTCATACTTGTAAAAAATATTTTAATTCATATGTATGTCTTAGCATTAAAAAAAATTCTAAGTATAGATTAATGCAAAATATCTTGGCAAATGAATGCTTGAATTTTTAATCCTTTAACCTTTTCTGTACCAGTATGTTATTTACATCAGATATTACTATTATATAATTACTGCAGGTCAAAACGAGCTTCAAAGAATTTGCCACGGTGGTATGTGATGACCCTCGCTCAGCCACATTGGATGCTGGTAATGTCAAGTTGACCTACAATGCTCTTATTGAGAAGGTGTGTAAATGCTAATGTTTTTTTATTTTTTTATTAACACATCAGCTGTTTCCTACCAAGGTAGGGTGGCCCAAAAAAGAAAAACTTTCATCATCATTCACTCCATCACTGTCTTGCCAGAGGCATGCTTACACTACAGCTATAAAACTGCAACATTAACACCCTTCTTTCAGAGTGACAGCACTCGACTTCCCTTCTCCAGGAATCAGGTCTGGCCTGCCAGTTTCCCTGAATCCCTTAATAAATGTTACCTTGCTTACACTCCAACAGCATGTCAAATCCTAAAAACCACTTCTCTCTATTCGCTTCTGTCTAACATACTCATGCACGCTTCCTGGAAGTGCAAGCCCCTCGCACATAAAACCTGCTTTACCCCTTCCCTCCAACCTTTCCTAGGCCGACCCCTACCCTGCCTTCCTTTCACTGCAGATTTATACTCTCAAAAGTCATGCTAATTCATTCCAACCTCTCGACATGTCCAAACCATCTCGGTAACCCCTCCTCAGCCCTCTGGATAATAGATTTGTTAATCCCACACCTCCTTCTAATCTCCAAACTATGGATACTGTGCATTATATTCACACCACATGTTGCCCTCAGACATGACATCTCTACTGCTTCCAGCCTTCTCCTTGTTGCAGCATTCACAACCCATGCCTCACACCCATACAAGAGCATTGGTATAACTATACAGGTCTCCCTCCACATTCATGAAGGTTAGGGGATCAAGAACTTCGCGAATGTTGAAAAATCACGAAAGTTTGGTGCACAAATATATTGTAGGGAAATATAATAATAGCATTTACTTAGCTTAACAATACTGCTTCCTTAATCAATTGAACCATGAACAATCATAAAACACATGAAAACATTATAAAATATTGTACTAGTGCCAGCCCTTTGGTAAAGAAGGTGAGAAAGGCTAGAATTCAAGAAAGACCTCGTAACAGAGTACCAAAGTGGAGGAGGAAGAGAGAGGGGAGAATGTACCTTCTTCAGTGATTCAGTGATTCTACGATATGTACGATACTAAGGCAGCACAAGCCGATAAGATAAGATAAGATTTCGTTCGGATTTTTAACCCCGGAGGGTTAGCCACCCAGGATAACCCAAGAAAGTCAGTGCGTCATCGAGGACTGTCTAACTTATTTCCATTGGGGTCCTTAATCTTGTCCCCCAGGATGCGATCCACACCAGTCGACTAACACCCAGGTACCTATTTGCTGCTAGGTGAACAGGACAACAGGTGTAAGGAAACGTGTCGAAATGTTTCCACCCGCCGGGAATCGAACCTGGGCCCTCCGTGTGTGAAGCGGGAGCTTTAGCCACCAGGCCACCGGGCCACCTGCCACCAGCCAGTGATAAAGTGTAGCATTAACAGTGTAGCAAGTAAGTTCAGTGATTAATTGATAGAAAAATTACAGCACAAACATAACTCCTCCAATGTTGTTGGAGTTCTATAGGGCGACTGACAACACCGCCTCTGCTGCCGCCTTCACCACCACTAAGTAAGGCTTATGCTCTCTGTGGCCCTTATACACCCAACAATAACAACACAACAACACTCGTGACATACTTAATGAGATATTTTATTCATTCTAGAGTATATGTCATGTTTCTATGTTATTAGTATTGTTTATTATGTCTTATTAGATGAATTGTGATAGATAAATAAGCCGTAGAGTTGATATTAGTGTCATATTGCAGGACTATCTTGTTCTATCTCCAAACAAACTTTGCGACCGCCACAATTCCTAACATACATAATGATATATTTTAAATATGATTGGGCAGCTGGGCATTCGTGAATGTTTGAAGCCCACGAAAATAGAACTCATGAATGTGGAGGGAGACTTATACCCTCATACATTCCTCTCTTTGCTTTCATAGATAAAGTTCTTTGTCTCCACAGACTCCTCAGTGCACCGCTCACCTTTTTCCCTCGTCAATTCTTTGATTCACATCCTTCATAGACTCATCTGCTGACATGTCCAATCCCAAATATCTGAACACACTCACCTCCTCCATACTCTCTCCCTCCTCCATACTCTCTCCCTCCAATCTGATATTCAGTCTTCCATTACCTAAGTTTTTTATTATCCTCACCACCTTACTCTTTCCTATATTCACTTTTAATTTCTTTCTTTTACATACCCTACCAAACTCGTCAACCAACCTCTGCAACTTCTGTTCAGAGTCTCCCAAAAGCACAGTGTCATCAGCAAAGAGCTGCTATGACAACTCCCACTTTGTGTTAGATTCTTTATCTTTTAACCCTACACCTCTTGGCAACACCTGAGCATTCACTTCTCTTACAACTCCATCTACAAATATGTTGAGCAACCATGGTGATATTTAATTCCTAATGTGTTTATACAAATTATGTTAGCCTGCATATTCACCTTGAGGAGGTAGTGGGAACTTGTTGCATTTTTTGTTCTGATTTCTGACACATTAATCCTTAAACGGTCCAAACGTATATATACGGTTTTTTAACATTTCAAAGTATGTAAAAAAATGTACATCATCTTTTTTTTTTTACATTTAAAAATGTGTAAAAAAACTTTTATCTACATTTTTTTTTGTTATATTGAAAATATTCTCCATGGGAAGTGGAACGGAATTCTTCCTCCGTAAGCCATGCGTGTCGTAAGAGGCGACTAAAATGCCGGGAGCAAGGGGCTAGTAACCCCTTCTCCTGTATATATTACTAAATTTGAATGGAGAAACTTTCGTTTTTCCTTTTGGGCCACCCCACCTCGGTGGGATATGGCTGGTACGTTGAAAGAAGAAATATTTGAAAATATCCTAGGTAGTAGGTTGGTAAACAGGAACCCCCCAGGGAGGTACTACCGTCCTGCCAAGTGAGTGTACAACGAAAGCCTGTAATTGTTTTACATGATGGTAGGATTGCTGGTGTCTTTTGTCTATCTCAAAAACATGGAAGATTTCAGGTATGTCTTGCTACTTCTACTTGCATTTAGGTCACACTACACATACATGTACAATTATATGTATATGCACACACACACCCCTCTGGGTTTTCTTCTATTTTCTTTCTAGTTCTTGTTCTTGTTTATTTCCTCTTACCTCCATGGGGAAGTGGAACAGAATTCTTCCTCCGTAAGCCATGCGTGTTGTAAGAGGCTACTAAAATGCCGGGAGCAAGGGGCTAGTAACCCCTTCTCCTGTATATACAGTGGACCCTCGACCAACGATGGCATCGTCTAACGTTAAATCCGACTAGCGATACATTTTAACGCAAAAATTTTGCCTCGACTAGCGCTAAAAAAGTTGACCAACACGATTCGTTCCGTTTGAGACGCGTCCACTTGTGGCCAGTGTTTGCAAGCCAGCCAGCCACCGCAGTCCCATCCAAACATACAATCGGAACATTTCATATTATCACATAGTGATTGCACCTGCAAAATAAGTCACCATGGGTCCCAAGAAAGCTTCTAGTGCCAACCCTACAGCAAAAAGGGTGAGAATTACTATGGATATGAAGAAAGAGATCATTGCTAAGTATGAATTGGAGTGCGTGTCTCCGAGCTGGCCAGGTTGTACACAAAACCCCAATCAACCATCGCTACTATTGTGGCCAAGAAAACGGCAATCAAGGAAGCTGTTCTTGCCAAAGGTGCAACTATGTTTTCGAAACTGAGATCGCAAGTGATAGAAGTTGTTGAGAGACTCTTATTGGTGTGGATAAATGAAAAACAGATAGCAGGAGATAGCATCTCTCAAGCGATCATATGTGAAAAGGCTAGGAAGTTGCATGACGATTTAATTAGAAAAATGCCTGCAACTAGTGGTGATGTGAGTGAATTTAAGGCCAATAACACAATTTATGTGGCCTTTGCTCTCAGGAATGTGAATTGCTTATTCATTCCTAATGATCTGTAGTGTAACTTAGAGGTTTTACCTCTGTTAATCCTTAGTAGAATGCTATGCTGTCTTATTTTTTCTTTGCTACATCATTTTCCATTAAAAAAAAAAGTTAAATGATACTACAGGTAATATAGTAGCAAATTTAATATTATTACCGGAATCATGTTTGATAACTTATAATTGCTGAGTGCCTATTCTAAAAGATCATTATATTTTAGGCAGAAGCAAGGGAAAAGGAAAGGCAAAAGGAGGAAGCTCGTAAGATGCGTCGTCTAGAGGCAGGGCTGCGAGCAACATTTAAATCCATTGGCGTCGACTCTGGCTCCACCTGGGAAGACGTGCGTCCTCGGGCACAACATCTCTCAGCATTCACTGCTATTACTATTGAGGCAGAACGCATCAGAATTTTCAAGGTGAGGTGTAAAATTGTTCGGTTTCATGATTTCTTCTGGCAAATTTTCTTAGTATGCACTTAGGGAAATAATGAAAATTGAGTTTGCCATTTAAATGCTCCAAAGATAAATAAGATCAAAGAACATAGGTCTTAGTTTTAAATATGGTTAAGGCATTTTTCTTTGAGAAAATAATCATATTATTCTTGAATATTTTATTAATAGTTATGTTTATTGAGTTAATTACTTCTTCATGGCTTATCTGTTGCTCTAATAGTTTAGCATGTATTGATTTGTAGATGTTGCACATGTATTACTTTAACCCTTAAACTGTGTATGATGTATGCCATACATCTGCCTGAATGTTCGGCATTTATGTGTGATGAATGCTGTACATCAGATTTTTTCTGTTGGGCACCTCTTCAGGCCAAAGAAAAAAATTGCTAGCTTCAGAGTAAGCAGAAGGAATGAAGGGTAAAATTGCCTCAGCCAGGCATTCTTGCAGTGACTGGCTGGAAAGTCCTGAATTTTGTGACAATGAAGAACGTAATTCTAATATGAGATGTGAGTATGACTCACAGTTCACCCCTCAGTAAACCGGACAACACCAACATTCCTGACATCACCCTGCCAGTACCACATATTACACCTCTGGCTACCCTGCCAACACCATATATGGTATAACCAGCACTCCTGAAAACCACTTTGTGCCCTACCAACACACGTTACACCACCAGCTCCTGTGCTAACACCACATGCAACACCAACTGTGCTGCCTTACATGTGGCATCACCAGTACTCTTAATACCATCATTTGTCTTGCCAACACCACATGTGACACCACCAGCTGCCCTGCCAACATAAATTGTGGCACCAGCAGCACCCTAAACAACAACATTTGTTCTTTGTTCTTTGACAAAGAACAAAGTACAAATGGTGTTGTTTGCCCTACCAACATCACATGAAGCTCCACCTGATATCCTACCAACAGCAGTTGTAGCACCACCATCACCTCTAATACTACCAGTTACTGTGCCAACATCACATGTGACAACTTTACAAGCCACCCTCAGCAGCTGCTCTGCCAACACTACATGTGGTACCACCAGCAGCACAGCTGCTTTGCCAGCATCTCATGTGGCAGCAGCAACAGCAAGGACATCATTTTCACTGCCAGTGTGTGGTATCACCAGCTGCTATATCAAAACCACATAGGGCACTACTAACACCCTTGACACCACCAGCTACCCTGCCAACATTACATGTGTCACCATCAACAGCTTTGACACCATCAGTTACCTCAATCATAAAGATACACAATATTACTGTAAGTTGCGTGATATGGTTTGTGCCCATCTCCATGTTTCAAGGAATATGCCACCTTGAAACAGTTGTAATATTATAATAGTTCCATGTTCATTGTTGAAACACAGTAACAATCATTAGAAATAAGACAACACAGTTTTTGGAAGAAATAGTAAAAAATTAAATTATGGATATAATGTAATATGTTCTCCCCATTTGTAGTACTAAAACCACTTGAAAAACATCTATTATTATAAAATGTTGCACATAGTCTTAGATATCAAAAACAAAATAATAATAATCAACAAAATAATAATAATTGGTTGGTAGACAGCAACCGCACAGGGAGGTACTACCGTCCTGCCAACTGAGTGTAAAACGAAAGCCTGTAATTGTTTTACATGATGGTAGGATTCCTGGTGTCCATTTTTCTGTCTCATAAACATGCAGCAAGGTTTCAGGTACGTCTTGCTACTTCTACTTACCCTTAGGTCACACTACATATAATATACAAGCATATATATACACACACCCCTCTGGGTTTTCTTCTATTTTCTTACTAGTTCTTGTTCTTGTTTATTTCCTCTTACCTCCATGGGGAAGTGGAACAGAATTCTTCCTCCGTAAGCTATACGTGTTGTAAAAGGCGACTAAAATGCCAGGAGCAAGGGGCTAGTAACCCCTTCTGTATAAATTACTAAATTTAGAAAGAGAAACTTTCGTTTTTCTTTTTGGGCCACCCTGCCTCGGTGGGATACAGCTGGTTTGTTGAAAGAAGAAGAAATGTATGAGAGAGGGGAAGGTACCTAGGGATTGGCAGAGAGCATGTATAATTCCTTTATATGAAGGGAAGGGGGACAAAAGAGATTGTAAAAATTATAGAGGAATAAGTTTACTGAGTATACCAGGAAAAGTGTATGGTAGGGTTATTATTGAAAGAATTAGAGGCAAGACAAAATGTAGGATTGTGGATGAGCAAGGAGGTTTTAGAGTGGGTAGGGAATGTGTAGATCAAATGTTTACATTGAAGCATATATGTAAACAGTATTTAGATAAAGGTAGGGAAGTTTTCATTGCATTTATGGATTTAGAAAAGGCATATGATAGAGTGGATAGGGGAGCAAAGTGTTAGATGTTGCAAGTATATGGAATAGGTAGTAAGTTACTAAATGCTGTAAAGAGATTTTATGAGAATAGTGAGGCTCGGGTAAGGGTGTGTAGAAGAGAGGAAGACTACTTCCCGGTAAAGGTGGGTCTTAAATAGGGATGTGTAATGTCACCATGGTTGTTTAATACATATATTTATAGATGGGGTTGTAAAAGAAATAAATGCTAGGGTGTTGGGGAGAAGGGTGGGATTAAATTATGGGGAATCAAATACAAAATGGGAATTGACAGTTACTTTTTGCTGCTGATACTGTGCTAATGGGATATTCTAAAGAAAAGTTGCGAAGGTTAGTGGGGGAGTTTGGGAGTGTGTGTAAAGGTAGAAAGTTGAAAATGAACATAGAAAAGAGTAAGGTGATGAGGGTATCAAATGATTTAGATAAAGAAAAAACGGATATCAAATTGGAGAGGAGGAGTATAGAAGACCTAGGTAGTAGGTTGGTAGACAGCAACCGCCCAGGGTAGTACTACCGTCCTGCCAAGTGAGTGTAAAACATAAGCCTGTAATTGTTTTACATGATGGTAGGATTGCTGGTGTCCTTTTTTCTGTCTCATGAACATGCAACATTTCAGGTACGTCTTGCTACTTCTACTTACACTTAGGTCACACTACACATACATGTACAAGCATATACACCTACCATCCGACTTACGACCGAGTTCGGTTCCGAGAAACCGGTCGTAAGTCGAACTTTACTACTGAATATCAACATAACATTTTTGTAATGACTTTATTTTATTGTTTTATTTTGGTATTTCATGTTTTACTTTACTTTTTATGCTGTTAGTACTGTATTTTATACTGTAAGGTTTAGGATAAACACTGTGTACAACACAAATAGTTGTTTATTTCCCAGAAATTTGGCATAAAAAACACGGTCGTAAGTCGAGTGGTCGTAAGTCGAGCAGGTCGTAAGTCGGATGGTACGTGTATATACATACCCCTCTGGGTTTTCTTCTATTTTCTTTCTAGTTCTTGTTCTTGTTTATTTCCTCTTATCTCCATGGGGAAGTGGAACAGAATTCTTCCTCCGTAAGCCATGCGTGTTGTAAGAGGCGACTAAAATGCCGGGAGCAAGGGGCAAGTAACCCCTTCTCCTGTATATATTACTAAATTTGAAAGGAGAAACTTTCGTTTTTCCTTTTGGGCCACCCCGCCTCGGTGGGATACGGCCGGTGTGTTGAAAGAAATAAAGAGTATAGAAGAAGTAAATGTTTTCAAATACATGTATTTGGGAGCTGATGTGTCAGTGGATGGATGTATGAAGGATGAGGTTAACCATAGAACTGATGAAGGAAAAAAGGTGAGTGGTGCATTGAGGTGTATGTGGAGACTAAAAACATTGTCTATGGAGGCATAGAAGGGAATGTATGAAAGTATAGTAGTACCAACACTCTTATATGGGTGTGAAACTTGGGTTGTAAATGCTGCAGCGAGGAGGCAGTGGAGATGTCCTGTCTAAGTGCGATGTGTGGTGTAAATATTATGCAGAGAATTCGGAGTGTGGAAATTAGGAGCAGGTGTGGAGTTAATAAAAGTATTAGTCAGATGGCTGAAGAGGGGTTGTTGAGGTGGTTTGGTCATTTAGAGAGAATGGATCAAAGTAGAATGACATGGAGAGCGTATAAATTTGTAGGGAAAGGAAGGCGGGGTAGGGGTTGTCCTTGAAAAGGTTTGGAGGGAGGGGATAAAGGAGGTTTTGTGGGTGAGGGGCTTGGACTTCCAGCAAGCATGCTTGAGCGTGTTAGATAGGAGTGAATGGAGACAAATGGTATTTGGGATCTGACGAGCTGTTGGAGTGTGAGCGGGGTAATATTTAATGAGGGGATTCAGGGAAACCGGTTATTTTTATATAGCCAGACTTGAGTACTGGAAATGGGAAGTACAATGCCTGCACTTAAGGGGGGGGTTTGGGATATTGGCAGTTTGGGGGAATATGTTGTGTATCTTTATACGTATATGCTTCTAAACTGTTGTGTTCTGGGCACCTCTGCAAAAGCAGTGATTATGTATGAGTGAGGCAAAAGTGTTGAATGATGATGAAAGTATTTTCTTTTTGGGGATTTTCTTTCTTTTTGGGTCACCCTGCCTCTGTGGGAGACGGCCAGCTTGTTAAAAAAGAAATGCATAATTACCTAAAATATACATAGTTACCTGAGATATACATGATTACCTAAAATTATAATTGAAACTATGTATACATTATTACCTAAAAAAATTAAAAACAAAAACTATAAATTGCTGGAATCATGACAGTGTTGCTGTCACGGGGTCATTTTCATATTCAACGTTTCATATATCAGTAATTTCAATTTTATTTTTATTTTTTTTGGTCTAATTCTAACCAGAGATATAAACATTTTAAAATGGTAATAAAAAAATAATTCAAAATTTTTCAAAATTCTGCCATACCACCAGTACTTATTTTTGCCATGTCTGCCACAATTTAAGGATTAAAGCTGAATAGTATGTACAAATGAAATATCTTTGATGCTTATTAATACATTTGATCCACATCAAGCCAGATTTGCTAACCCTAGCACTTCTTATTAGAGCTTGAACAAATTCCACATCATGCCTTACCTCCTTATCTGCCTTGCTTTCAGATTATTTTATCCCTTTTTTATTGTGTGCTTTAGGAATATCAGCAACACCTGGAAGAGGCATGTGGCCACCACCACTCTCGCAACAAAAAGAAAAGCAAGAAGAAAGATAGGAAAAAGTCTCGATCACGTTCTCACTCGTATACGGTAATGATATAATCATTTATTGTGTATCTCTATGTGTATTAATTATTCTTTCATATCCAGTTTTGTCACTGTTTAAATTATTTTTGTCTGTTGTGGGGTTTTTGAATGACAGTTAATATGGAACTATCCATACCCCCGGCCGGGATTGAACCCGCGGTCATAGGTCTCAAAACTCCAGCCTGTCGCGTTAGCCACTAGACCAGCTAGCCACAATAAGATTCATCCAACTAGGTATATTTCTACACCATAGGAAGGTTAGCACAGGCACCACTGTGACCACAAATGCAAGTTTTTACAGATGAATCTCCAGCTAGCGTGGCCGTGACGAACTCTAGCTCAAGTCCCTTCACTGCCGTCAACATGACTCAAGAAATCGTAATGACACGATTGCAAACAAACCATACCCCCGGCCGGGATTGAACCCGCGGTCATAGTCTCAAAACTCCAGCCCGTCGCGTTAGCCACTAGACCAGCTAGCCACAGTAAGATTCATCCAACTAGGTATATTTCTACACCATAGGAAGGTTAGCACAGGCAGAAATATACATGTACCTAGTTGGATGAATCTTATTGTGGCTAGCTGGTCTAGTGGCTAACGCGACGGGCTGGATTTTTGAGACTCTATGACCGCGGGTTCAATCCCGGCCGGGGGTATGGTTTGTTTGCAATCGTGTCATTACGATTTCTTGAGTCAAGTTAATATGGAACTATTTTTGTTAATTTTTTTATCAAGTTGGTTATGTAATACAGTGGACCCCCGCCTTACGATATTATTTCATTCCAGAAGTCTGTTCGGGTGCTGTTATAGACCGAATTTTTTCCCATAAGGAATATTGTGAATTAGATTAGTCCGTTTCAGACCCCCAAAAATACACGTACAAAAGCTCTTACAAAAATACACTTACATAATTGGTCGAGTTGGGAGCTGATTGTAAGGCGGGGGTCCACTGTATTCTTGCCATTGGTTGCGAAGGTAGAAGAACCCTCAAAACCAGTCACTGGTTTGTTTGTATTCCTCATTTTCATAATAAAGAGCTTTATTAATGTGTAAGGTTAGGCACTATATTCATTGATGCAGTCTTGCATAAGTTGAAAACAAATATACCATAGTAAATGGAATTAGGAGTCAACATCCACCTCATTCCTTATGGGAAAACTACAGGTAATACATGTACAGTATTGGTACAGTAATACTTTTTTATCTCATTAAATTTAGAGTTCATTAAGTTGATATAATAATCACTACCTACAGTCTGACAGTGATGATGGTCATCACAAGCGCAGGTCACGACGTTCCCGCTCCCGCTCTAGAAGCTATTCTGATGATACTGACGATGATCGACGCAAGTCACGTAAAAAGAAAAGCAAGAAAAAGAAGGGCCGAAGTCGTTCGGTAAATAATTAGTGTACAGATTTTGCTTGGAAATTTTTGTTTTAAATTATAGTATACATTGATGATGATACATAATTTTATTTAAGAAATTTGTATGAATGGGTTTGAGGATGGAAAATTTTTGGTTAATTCTGTAGTAGCATTATGCCCATAATTTATGCAGGATTTGTGTTTTGGGCATGTTTCATTACTAGAAATGAATGTTCATTGATAAGTAGAGTATTATTTAGAAAAATAATAATAATTCTTTCAGTGTGCAGTTGAATCCTTTTATCTTGATCCTTGGTAAGTGAAAAATTTGGTATCCTGAATTGAACACTTCAAAATGGATGTTGTACTTAGTCAGATCCATAATAAGAGTAAAAATAATGATTTATGATTAAAAAAAATTGCAGACAATGTTTACTGATGGTCACAATGGATACTTTACAACAAATGCAAATCCCCCATGCTTTAAAAGTTGAAATTTATAAGAAATTAGTGAATTCCACTAATTCTGCTATCCTAAACTATTTTCAAATCTATTAAATAGCATATATCACAATGGCTGGAAGAGGAAATACTATATCTATTGTTTGCCAACTGCAAACGACACTAGGCAATAATCTAAATGGATACCAATTTCCACATAGTCTCTCTCGTAATCCATTTAAATTGAATAAATGATCTGTATCTAAATAGTTCGAATATCAAATTCTCTGTCCACTGATAGCTTACCCTATGTTACACTAAAGCACTGCATATCATACCTTAAACTGCACATTATAGTAATTACACATTCCTGTGATTTCTACAATGACATGCATACCACAGTTATAATTCTACAATAGCTCTGTGACTGATAAGAAATACAGTAAAGAACAAAAATGAGTGAGAATGCAAGAATAATACCCTGGAACAAACTGCTAAGTAGTTTTATTGAGTGAGTACTTAGGTTGTTTGTGTTAAGGAATGTAAACAAAATTTTTTCCTACAGCGATCTGTCAGCAGTGAAGATTCCTACAGATCAAGGCGCTCTAGTAAGAAAAAGAAGCATCGATCTCGCTCTCGTTCTCGCTCCAGATCACGTGGCGGGTGAGTCTTAAGAAATTTCAAAGTTTAGATCACTAAACTACAAAAACTTTCCTTATTCAAACCCTACATTAACTTTGGCTTTTAACATTTTTTCTTTTATAAGTTTCTTAAAAATAATATATTCTGAAACTTGCTTTCTTTTCTCCTAAACTTCTAGAGTAGAAGTAGTGAGGATCAGGTGATCATTGAACAGTATTGGGTAGACAAGCAAGGAATGAAGATCTTTAGAGAAGCTTTGTAATTGTGCTACGAACATTAACTATGATAAATGATGAGTTAGTAATGAGGTAACTTTTTGTTTGAGAACCGACATGAGGATGATCACTAAGTATGCTTGTGGAGTGAAAGTTTTCTATTAAAGAAGGGGAAAGAAAATTAAATATCCTGAAAGAATTTTAATGTGCATTGTATGTTAGCAGTATTGGAAATCTTTGAGGGGAAGAAATAATGAATGGGACAGTTCAGATGGACAATGTGGCTCACCAAAGAAATGTTATTTATTTAATATGCCAGTTTGAGTTAAAAATATTTATGTATAATTTTGGTACAGTACAGTACTTGGTTTTATAAGTCACAGTTGTGACAAGAATAAACTATTCTGTAAAGATGCTAGAATAATTACAGGATAAAAATATTGTGTGTATTGTAATAATAAAGTAAGAAGCTATGATCAACAAATACATACTGAACATAAGTTACAAGGATTTCATTAAGGCAGATATCTATATAGTATATAATTTTTGGCCTTTGTTACAGTTTGAACTCAAGATATTTTCAGTGAAAATTTATCTTACAATGGCAAATTTTTGGTATCTGTTATGCAAACAAAACTACTAGGCAGAATGTCATACATGAATTACACAATACATCCCCCCCCACACACACACACACACTTCTCTGGGTTTACTTTTCCAGGTCTATTCTTGTGATCTTTTCCTTATGTATACTGGTGATTTCATTTATGAGGTCATTTATTACACATATATTGTCATTGCTTTGTTTATAGCAGCAAGATCAGAGTGCGGAATTCTTCAGCAAATGGTTTGAGAACAGTGGTCAGGCTTTAGGCACTTGAACAGAGGAAACAAGGAAGTAGCAAAAGTGCATAGTGAAGTGTGCTCTGAATGTAGAAAACAGTATTAACAATAATGAAGAGCAGAAATTAAAGTGATATACCATATATGAATTCCATAAAAATGAAATTGGTGCAGTAGTGTTTGTATAAGTTTAGTACAGTAGTGCTTGTATAAGTTACAGAAATTTTGGTAGAGATAAGAAGGCATAAGAATACTAAAAGTGACAAGTGGTAAAACAAGCAGATGACAAAATGAATATAAGAAAATTTGATAAAAAAAATTCATTATTTTATGAACTTAAAAATTTCTTTAATGCAGTGCATTTATTACCAAGTAATTTCAGGGTAGACATTTCCAAAATAAAATAAGTGTGTATGAAACAGTCAAATCAGTTGAATGTAAGTACTAAATCTCTGTGGAACAGTATAATAAGAACTTTCTTTAATTAAGTTTATGTACACAAAAGTTTAAAGCAAAAAAAAATTTTCACTAACAGTCAGTTAATTTGCTTGCAGGAAAAAACCTCTCATGCAGCTCCACATGAACTGATTAAAATGCAATTGCTTACTTGATATCTTTTCTATAGATTTTTCTTTCTGAAAAAATTTTTTATTTGCTTTCATTTCCAAAAATAATAAATATAATCGGAAGAGACAGTATAGAGCTGTCATAATGGTAAGGGCAGGAGGCTTTATAGGGTCATCATGATGGGAAGAAAGGGAGACAGTATAGGGACATCCTGATGAAGGAAGACAAGGAAGTGGTATAGGAGCATTGAAGTGGCAAAAAGCAATGGAGACAGTATAGGATTGCCATGATGGAGGAAGGGTCAACAGTACTGGACTGTCATAATCGAGGAAAGGAGGTAGGGAGTATAGATCTGTCATAACAGGAAAATGGAGGGAGACAGTATAGACCATCATATGCAAATGAATTATAAAATACACAGCATTTGTGCAGATACCTTTTACCCAACACTTGAATCTTGAATTTTTCCAGTAGGTCTGGAGTTTTTTCATATTTGTACAGCAATTTTTGCCTGTTGGCTAACACATGGGGTATCTAATTTTACTGCTAGGTGAGCAGTTTGCCAAAATGTTTCTCCAGGTTAAGAACAAAATCTGGGATGTTCTAATTGTAACTTCAATAATCTCACCAGTGAGGAGGTGGTATAGGACTACCAAGACATTGTAATGGTATGGGCAGAGAGTATGATATTAATGGGGAAGTGGGGAAAAAGTGTAACACAATCATGAAGGAAAGATGGTGTAGGGAAAACTTAAGTTTTGGTGGTTTTCTTATGTGAATATTTTCAGAAGTAATCCTGATTATCAGTGTAACTAAAATCAGTAGTTTGTACTTTGTGTGTCTGCCTGAGTGTGGATATGATGACTTGTTGAGGTGGGAAGTACAAAGTATAGATGAAGCTACATAATAGGAAAAAAAAGTTGGGACAGGTATTAGGAAGAAAGTGAATTAGCATTGTAGTAATACTTCAGAGAGATGATGGGTAAATATACGAATGAGTAGGATGTCACAGGAAAGGGATATGTGGAAGTGTGCTAAGACTTTGGCATGTGGAAGTTTTTGTGTGGTTCACATCAAATATAGATAGTAAAATGATCATTCACTTTCCCCTTTTGCTTAATGCCTAAACCAAGGAGTGAGACATTGCTTGATAGAATGGTATGATTTTCAGCTTAAATATTATTTTCTTTACTTTGAAATCAGAATCCTCACAGAAAATTAACACTAAAGTTTTAACTTAATTTTTTGTATTCTTTCCTGGGAAGGTAGCTGTTGTTGGCCATGTTATTTATTCCCTTGAGCTGCTAGAAGACAATATTTCTTGAATAAATAAAATATTTCCTAGATATTCCCTTAGTTCAACAGTTGTGGTACAGTTTTAGTTACTTTTCAAGACTGGAGTGCTTTGGTAACCATAGAAATGCTACCATAGGGAAAGTGATAAGACTATCGGCTCAGTAACCATGGAAACACTACAGTGCAGAAAGTAATGAGACTGGATGGTCTTGGTAACCATGAAAACACTGCCATGGATACAGTAATAAGATTAGATGGCATCAATAACCATGGAAGCACTACCCTGAATGTAATAAAACTGGATGGTCTCAGTAACCATGGAAAAATTACCATGGGGAAATTGAAAGGGTTCACCCTATCCCCATTGATGGTTTCTTTACCAGCATTAAGACTTCAGGACCAGTTGATAGTCCACCTCATTTTCCCATATAGCCTTTTAATAAAGGCATTTCATATTTTGTCCTTGTTTACTCTTACTAGTACCTATTTTGCTCTTTTGTGCTTCTTCCCTTCTTTTCTACTTGTATGTGGGCTTAATGGCAGCTCTGTCTCCCCACATTCTTGTTTCTCAGTACTGTATATATTTTAGTGTCATTTGCTTCGCTTTTATGATAGTTAACCAGCATGTAGAATTTTTTTGCAGAATATGTCAGGTGCTCCTTTACTTGTCTTTAAACGTGTTAAGGCACTTGAAATATCCAAGACCATGAAGTTTTCAGAGGGAAATACACATCAGATACAATATTATATATAGACAGATAATTTCTTTGATTTTTTTCCTATTGACTGGATGAAGGTAGTAGTATTTAGGGAGCTCTTTAAATACTATATTTCAGTCAAATAACAGATACCCTTGATATTTTGATATTTAATTACATGTAGGAATGTGTAAAAAAAAAAAAAAGCCTAATTATCCTAATAAATTTCTTGCTCATGTTGGTCTACTACATTTCCTCAAGCTCATTATTGCCCTATTCCTATTTTTTAAATAATGTTATCCCTTGATTGAGTGTGTGTCTTTCTTTTTTTCTCTTTCCCACATGTATTCTTTTCTGATACTGTCCTCAGTGTTTCTACACACATTGTTGGCTAGGAGACCTGTGGTACTCCTTTGCAACTCTACATCTCTGCTGGATTACTTTTCTGCTTCAAATGCTCAGGATTCTGGCACCTCCAACAAGAATAATCCTTAATTCAGTAAAACCAAAGGAGTGACATGCTTATCTTGATATTTAAGGCATTTAATGAAAGAGAGAGTACTCTCTGTGAGACCTGCTCATCTTTATCCTTCATCTTTTATTTTGTTGGCTGTCTGTTTTTTGGCGTTTAGGAAGCGAATATGATGAATAGCTCGGAAAAAATATCACTAACCATCATTGAGATGTGATGTCAGTGCTTCAGAGTCTTGTAATCTTTGTGAGCCAAGAGCACTGTGATTACCAGGAAGAGATGCCAATTTAACCCTTTCGCTGTTGGTCTTGGAGTATTATGACTTGCAAGCCAGTGTCGGTCCTGTAATATTACAGCAAAATTCTAGCGGCTTCAAATCTTGCGAGAGAAAACCGGTAGGCCTACATATGAGAAATGGGTCTAAGTAGTCAGTATGCCCAGTATAAAAAAAATCCTGCAGCATGCAGTGCATAATGAGAAAAAAAGAGAACTCCAACCGTGTTTTTTATTTAAAACACCGAATTTGCAGTTATTTTTGTATGGTATTTATGGTTGTACGTATTCTCGTTTTCTTGGTCTCATTTGATAGAATGGAATATATATTACAGAAATAGAGATGATTTTGAATGGTTTATGGTCTAAAAGTGCCTTGAAATTGAGCTCAAAGTAGCAAAAATGTTTGATTTTTGCCAATGTTCAAGAGTAAACAAATCACATCATGTGTCCAATACATGTTGACTGGCGAGTCTAATATGCTTTCACAAATGTGCTGATATTATTTATACCATTTTTACAATAATGCAGTAGTCTACATAACAGTAAATCTTCTATTTTTCAAGTGAATAAAAATTCAAAATGGAAAGCAAGCGTAATATAAGAGGGGCCTGGAGACATGACTAATGAACAAAGAAAATGTTATTTTAGTGTTGAGTGTGTTTGTTTTGTTAATTCTGGACCCTGTTTTGAAATTGGCCTTGAATTGTGTATGAAATTGGCCAAATTACCCAATTCTGATCACTTTATATGGTAGTTGAAATAGGTAAATGGGTGGTTTCTTGTACTCAATCGATAAGACAAATGGAGTTCTAGTGAAATAGCTATGAGTTTAGTTGACTGGAACAATGGAATTGGCCAAGAAAAGGGCTCAAAGTGGGCGAAATTGCCAATGCATAAATATCGCTGAGACCAATAACTTCACGAGAGCGTAATTTCATGAGTTTTCCATCAGATTTCGTACTTTTGGTGTCATTAAAATCGGGGGAAAGATTTTCTATCGTTTCATAAGATATTTTTTTTTTTTTTTTTTTGACACTGAGAGCAAGTTTGTGAGCAGGGGTCTCGATAGTGAAAGGGTTAAAATTATTAAGGCCAGCTAAAGTTTCACAAAAGTACAGTACTAGGATTGAATATTGCTGAGTAATGCAAATCTAAATTTTTTTTTTTTTTATTTTTTTTTGGTTAGCTGTATGGCAATATAGTCAGATGTGACTAGCAGGGAAACAAATGTACATTAACTCATTCACTGATAGTTATTTGACAGAACCACCTGCCCAAATGTTTCCCAAATGTTTATGTCATGAGAAGGCTACTGGGTCATAAAATTTTCTTAGTAAATCAATATCTGATCATATATACTTGTTTGAGTCGCATATGCAATAAATAATATGAGGTAGTCTTATGTTGCTCTGGTAGATTTTGAAATACCATGCTACAAACATTATTCCATTTAGGATAATTAAACAACACACACAATGTCATATGAAATGAAACAGTGGATAAAATATCTATAAAACTTGAAACTTCTCAGAGCTGCTGTATGGCTTTGTTAAGCAAATGTGTTTTGCAACTTGCACACCAGCAGTCTACAATGTTTGCTAAAATCAAGTTAAGAAATGTATCTTGTCATTATGATAGTCTGGTAGAATGATAATGAATTTCAAGTTGAATCAATTCGTATGCCATGGTAAATACCTAGTTAAAATTAAGTTGATGCAACATTTACCTGAAGCACTGTCCCATCACATTATTCCTCAGCTTTCTTACATGTTGTAAGGTTAAAATTAAGATGTCAGTCAGGAGATCTTACAGTCAGATTGATGAGGCTGAATAAGGTTAAGCTTCCATTGGAAGTACAGTACTGTAGTGTTATAGTTCTCCAGATAGTTCTGTTTATAGGAAATTTAGTGGCATTCTTGACTCTTGTTTAATTAATCTGGTTATGTTTGTCATCAGTTTTCCCATGTCATTTGAACAGCCTTCAGGTCATGGAATGTAGGCATAGTTATATTGGTGGATTTACATTGAAAGATGAAACAAGTTGTTTTGTGTGCATTTTTACTTAAATATAAAAAATTAGTTTATTATTGTACAATTTAAATGCACAAAGATGTCAAGAAGACACTTTTGAACACTACTGAGTTTTAGAGGTAGAATTTTCTGTTAACATTGATCTTTCTCTCTCCGCTTGATTTTGTATTTCTTGTTTCTGGTTAAAGTAGGTTTAATTCTTTTTTCTTAGACCAGAATATTCGATTAAGAGTGACATGCAAAAGACAGATCGTAGTCAGTGTAGGCTTTTAAAATCCATTATTGTTTAGTGATAAATCATTTCGATTTTTATTGCGTTACTATTGTTCTTAGGGCTAGTTACTTGTCCTTGCTTTCTTCCAAGCAGGAGAAAAGCCAAAAGCTGATAACATTCGGTGGGCTGTACCACACGGTGCGGTCTTCCATTTGGACGTCATCATGGAGATGTGATAACCAAGACGTAACACCACCAGGTCTATACACAAACATGAATCCACCCCCCTCTGCCTGGCGACATGATGTCATGTGGTGTCCTCGGGGAGGATATCTAAGTTTGCCTCCATGGCAACTTTGTCGTTGTCACCTGTCTTTGAATGCTAATATAATGATAACATATTGATATGCCTATTACAAGTTAAATGTTTTGCGAAAAATCAGTATTTGTTTTATATTGGGCGATGGAACAAGACTTGATGTTGTCAAGAAATGATCGTTTTGAAAAAAAAAAAAAGGCATACTTAGGAATTTGCTGAATACTTAAATGTACATATGACATGGGTTAACTCATTACTTCGTTAGTCCATTATAACCCCGCTGAACTGATGTAGTGGTGCCACCGATACTTTCCATCACTCTGTGAAGCTAGTGACACTTTTCTTATTCTTTGATTTGCGTTTGCAATATGTACAAGTGATAAAATAATTCTTTTGCGTGTTTATGATGTTCCTTTAATAGTCAGTATTACCCTAAGTGTTTCCAACATGCTGATTTGATGGATGTGCCCTAGCAGTACATTGTGCCCTTGTACATATGATGTAAATGGACTGTATTTTCAATTTAAATAGAATAAATAGTTTTACACATGGCAGCCACTATATTTAACCTACTACAGTATGTACTTTCATCATTTGTGTATAATAGACTATATTAAGGACCTATATCTTCAGCTTTTCACATAATGTCTCACTCCTTTAAAGTGAAGGTATCTGGATACTTAATGTTCCTAGCTGTATAATATGATCAGCAGTGAAAAGCATGTTTAATAAAAAAGTGGACAGTGGGGATGAATGATTTTGGTATTTGACAATACAAAGTATTTGGTAAAATGGGATGGTTATCAGCAAGGTGTATATGGAAGAATGCATGCAGGTGGTAATGATAAATGGAATAGAGAACGTGGAAGTATTTTACAGTGACTATTATGTTTTTGCAATCTCTTGTAGTTTTGAGGTTATCTTATTCAACTTGCCAGCATAATGTGCTTGCTGTGATTACTATGTGGAATGTAACATTGAGTGAATGGAAAGTATCTCCATCATCAGATGTTAACTATTGTAGGTCATATTTGGAAGTATAGTCTGTACAGTCGACAAGTTGTTTGGTGTTTCTGGGGTATTTCTTAACACTATTACATAATACATAAACTCTGGGTATTGTTTTTATCTTAGCAATATCTTTTACAAGCTTTGCAAATGTTCTTGTTTGGGTGACTTCATAGCAAGCCACCCTCTGTTTTGCAGCAAAAGTACATTTAAAAATACTAATTGGTAGTACGTTGTCTGCAAGATTAGGGTCATAACGAGGAATTCATTAGTAGGGTCGTTGAGTTTGGTGTTTTGTTAATGAGTAGATATGTAGTTAGATATTGGTATTAAGGTTTGAGTACAAAATATAGATTGTTTTACATAGAAAATCATGTTCACTTTTTTTTAAATATGTAAATAATTTATAATATGGAATTGGCAAGAAATTCAGGCTTCAATCCTAAAAAGTATTCATTCTGTGATTACTGTGACTAATTTTAAGTCTCAGCGTCTAACTGCTGAGGTTGTTTATACCAAATATGAGTTTATCCTCATCTTTTGATTTTTATACCAATATATTATATTAAGGTATATCTGCCAGTAATTGGAAAGAGTATAGTGGTGGTAATGTTTTAGTAACAGTGTGATGCATAGTTTTAAAATGTCACACAAGGAGGAGGAGGAGGAGGAGAGGTTGAATACATTGGAACTATATTGTTTGAGATGATTATTTAATGTGAATATTATACAGAGAATAAAAAATAGAAAATAGTGGGGTAGTATGAAAGGAATAATTCAGAGGTTGAAAGAAGGGTGTTGCATCAACAACCTGTTTTGTGTTTGTTAATGTATATAAAACAAAAGAATGAATGATGGTGAAAGTGTTTCTTTCTTTTTTGGGTTACCTTGCCTCAGTGGGAGATGGCTGACATGTTAAAAAAACAAGTGAGGTATCTTTCTTGTTGACATTTTAAAGCAGAATGCAATGTGAAAGGCCACATGAGAATAAGCATATTGCATCATCCATGTGTGTATATATAGATGTGCAGTCTTACCCATATGCCTTGTGGGCTCTATCATACCTGCTCTTAAAGCTGTGTATGGAGTCTGCCTGAAATACTAACATCCTTGTGGCTCATCTGTGTCATTAACCTCTAGCTGTGCCCCCAGGTACTTTTTTCCCCACCTCTCAAATTGCCTATCTCTGTTTATCTTATCAATTCTTCAGAGTATCTTATGTCATTATTATTCTTTCCTGACTTTTCTATCCTCCACTGTCCTTAGACTCAATTCCAGTAGTCTCTTCTCGAAACTCGTACCCCTTAGTTCTGGAACTAGTCCCATTGCATACCTCTGCACTCTCTTCAGTTTCATAACATGCTTGCTCAGGTGTGGGTTCCATGCTGGTGCTGTGTACTCTAAGATAGCCCAACATAAGTTGTGTAAAGGACACACAATAACTCTTCGTTGAGGCTACTCATAAATTTTCCAGACAAGCATTGGCTGCAGAGGTTATTCAGTTAATGTGAGCCTCTGGTGATATGCTTGGCATTATGCTAACCTCCCCCCCTCTCTCTTTGAGTGAATATATATGTGAATATTTTTTAACATACCTGTCATCTCCCACCAAGACAGGGTGACCTGAAAAAGAAGAAATGCTCTCAGAAAGGTTTTTTTTTACATTTAGTAATTTATCCAGGAGAAGGGGTTACTAGCTCCTTGCTCCCATCATTTTAATAGCCTTTTATGACAAATGGCTTATGGAAGAAGGATTCTCTTTCCACTTCCCCTTCGAGAATGAATATATGTGGGAGATGGCCATCATATTGAAAAAAAAATATTAATCTTCTTTCAACAAACTGGCTGCATCCCACCGAAGTGGTCTCCCAAGGTGGTCTCCTGTTGTGGTGGGATATATTCACGTATGTATATAATATATGTACATGCATATGTGAACATACATATCTGTATGTACATTAGAAGATATATCTTTCTTCTTTCAACACACCGGCCGTATCCCGCTGAGGCAGGGTGGCCCAAACGGAAAAACGAAAGTTTCTCCTTTTACATTTAGTAATATATACAGAAGAGGTTACTAGCCCCTTGCTCCCGGCATTTTAGTCACCTCTTACAACACGCATGGCTTACGGAGGAAGAATTCTGTTCCACTTCCCCATGGAGATAAGAAATAAACAAGAATAAGAACTAGAAAGAAAATAGAAGAAAACCCAGAGGGGTGTGTATGTATGTGCTTGTACATGTATGTGTAGTGTAACCTAAGTGTAAGTAGAAGTAGCAAGACATACATGAAATCTTGCATGTTCATGAGACAGGAAAAAGGACACCAGCAATCCTACCATCATGTAAAACAATTACAGGCTTTCGTTTTACACTCACTTGGCAGGGCGGTAGTATCTCCTGGGCGGTTGCTGTCTACCAACCTACTACCTATTAGAAGATAAATGTCCATCAGAAATGAAGTATAGAAAACCCAAACATCATCGCATTCTTCTTACTCTATATAGAAGGAGTTCTTGGAAAAATGTTGGTAGACTTTCCATCATCTTTAACCTCTCATCACTTCAACTCAGACTCCCTAAGTGAGGCACTCAGTTTAAGGCTAAAATTCTCCACTGGCATCCGGAAACCGGAAAAGCATGTTGAGTTTGCTACTCTCAACCACAAATACAGGAACTGAATTTGCTAAAGGATTCATCCTGGGAATCCTCACCATAGCCCTCCAAGAAACATCTACACCTATGCTTCACAAATGTTTTTATTGCCTTAGAAGACTTTGGTAAAAGCCTCTAGATTAGAGTCATCATGGCTATCAAAGGTGATGTCTGACACACACTAATGGATTCACTTAGTGACCACAACATCTATGAAACCTTGCCCTAAACACCTTGGAAAGATAAAGCCAAAAATTTGTTATTGCCTACCTGTCTACCCTCAACCTGCACACGTTTATGAGCTTTCAAAATTTCAAGAACCAAGTATTCCTCTATTTCTTATCATATCAACGATCATAACTGCCCAAAGCAGTCTTGATGAAGTTTTGACTAGAAAAAATCTTAACCAACATTTTAGGTACATAACCATAGCCACTCTCAGCATTGTCACTTTGGAGATCCTATTTTTTAACTCAGTAATGTCAACTTCAAAAATAAGAAACTGACAAACTTGGACATCATCTCCGTCTTCACACAGGTCCCCATAGATCAAGTTATCACCTTCCTGCCCAGCCATGTCGTCACCAATTTTCATTTCCCGCTGCCTGTTCAAGACTCCATTGATTTTGAGATTTGTGTTCGGTCTGTTTTCCTGCAAGTCAGAACTCTAAAGTCTAAAATTTGGTATGGTCATGGGCTCACCATGACCATACCAAATATTTATCTTGAGCACTTAGAATCAGCTTTTGTGGAATCATTGCCTGACATATTACTTTGATGTGTTAATGCCATCAAGCTTGTAGTACCAAGATGCTTTAACTGCATTAACTTCATGGATCATCTCGTCCAGATCGAGTCTTCAATCCAGTTTACTCTTGAGGTAAACAAAGAGGATATCTTCCCTTTTTAGATGTACGTACTTTTTACCAAGGTAGGTGAGCACTTAAAATGCGCCATGTACAGAAAATCTACCAATAGAGAAGATCTAGCAGACTTTTATTCTCACCATGTTCTCAAAGCTAAGGGAGAAACTATCGTCGTCTTCCTTTGTGCAAAAAGAAACTGCATTGAAAAATTTATGCTCTTCGAGCCAGAATATACAGAGAAAACCTTTGCTAGCCCTAAATTTCAGCCTAATATCTTTTTCTGCAAATGCAAGAATCTACATAAATACAACAGTGTCACGGCAAATATGATCTACTGTCCTGAGCAGGTTCAACATGGATGTAGCAGTGGTCATCATCAAGACCATCAAAGATATTACCAAAATTCTTAGTCGTAATACATTACCAAGAATGCAGGGGTCTACAGTGTACCATGTGGCAGATGTGATAAGGTTTACCTAAGGGGAAATTCTTTGAGATTTGCCTACACACCTGCAAGATTAACAGTAGTAATGCATGTGTAGTGCACTCTTAACTAGTATTACATTTTATGGCATATGACAAAGCTGCACTTATTTCCCAAGAAAATGTAACAAATATGTGCAGATGTCTTGAATTTATTTCATTGACAGGGAAGTATTAAACTCGTAGGGGTAAATACGGCACATTTGGAAAGGGATTCAGTCAGATTTAATCCCAGAAGCAGTAGGTATATATTGTCGAAACAGACAGTATACAATACACAAATAACCCGCACATAGAAGAGAGGAGCTTACAACGACGTTTTGGTCTGACTTGGACCATTTACAAAGTCACACAGACTTTGTAAATGGTCCAAGTCAGACCAAAACATCGTCGTAAGCTCCTCTCTTCTATGTGCGGGTTATTTGTGTATTGCTCCAGTCACGGTATTGTGCCTTTTTTTGTTATAGACAGTATACACTGTGAGCAACTCTTAGCTACTTTACACAACTATCTGCATAGTCATGCAAAATACCCAGAACT